ATTCTCTTCTAGTCCCTTGGTCATTGTCATTTCACCTCTTTTGTCGATTGTTGAAGACCAAGTTAAATACCTTTGATCATTGGGAATCGATCCGATGCTGCTTTCAATGAGAAAAACAAAACCAAAGACCAAGAAATATTGGATGGAAAGGGCGGGTTTGCTTTATTGCAAATGTCAGCTTANCAGGGTTATCTACCCACATCTATTAAGCAAAGTTTCCACGCTTATCTTTTCCTTTTTTTCAAGCGAAGATGAGATTAGATTTTGGCACGCACAGAAAGTTGCGCGAGTACCAGTTGCTCGACATGCCTGCGTGGCCGTGCAACGAAATAACTTCACGGGATTGGGAAAGTTTCAGTCACAGCAAATTATGCAAAAAATCTGGAAAGATTTATGCTTAAATCTCGTTTAACGTTTAAAGCGACATATCGATGACTGCAACCATTGTGTTGTAAACAAACCTCGCAGACTTTAAAACACGTTCTCTAGGGATACCTGTGAAAGTATTCAGTATAATTTCCAGTAAGATTTTCACAGACAATCTGATCGATTTCTCTCACATTGTGTGCTGAGACTGAAACTTTTCACCTCAAGCAAATCTCCGTCGCACGGTCCAAACAAACATAGCGAGCAACAGAGCTACTAGAAGCTACTAGCATATTTGTTCGTGCTAAAACACACGAAAGGTTTCTAAAGTACACTTCACTCTGATTGGGCAGAAAAACACAAAGATTTTCTGGCACCAATCAGATGGCAGAATGACTGCGACTGTTTGGAACTAGTCTTGTAAGACAATGTCCCCAGGGGCTCTTTATGCCCTAACTTGAAATCGACTCAGCCCGTGGGTCTCCGAGGATGGGATTATGGAAATTTAAACCTGAATTGAAATTGAGAAGTATTGAATTGTATGCTTTTTGCATGCAAGTTCCTTGGTTGTACCTTATCTTAATCGGTCAAACTCAATAATAAAAATATTAATTATAATCCACTTGAATGCGCTGAAAGTGAAGTCGAGTTATTCAAACGATCGAGTTTCAACTTGTTTCAAGTGATCTTTCACAGATTGTGTCAAATACCTTGTGTAACTAACACCATGTCACCCAACACGTAACGCTTTCATGAATAATCCTTCGCTTTAGCTCAAGACGAGATTGGGACGCCTGTGTCGGCATTCGTTTTGATGAAACAATCTGTTCAAATAATTTCTACTGGTGATCACTTGTTCGACCCCTTAGCCATTTATCCATTCGATCTCATCTGTGAGGCTCATCTCAGTGTTCAAAAAATTAGCCTTTCATCCGTTCGATAATTTTCATTAGCCATTCATCCATTCAACCTAATCAGTTCAAAAATTTTAATTGGTTGTTCATCCGTTCGACCTCCTCTGTTCGAAAATTTCAATTAGCCATTCATCCATTCGACCTCGTCCGTTCGAAAACTTTCACAAGCCGTTCATCCATTTGACCTCATCCGTTGGAAAATTTTAATTAGCCGTTCATCTGTTCACAGTATCCATTTCGAATGGCTTTCCTAGCCATTCGTCACCCGTTCGCTTGCTGTTCCATTCACTGTTTGAACAGCTACCGTTAGAAACGTTTTCACATGAGAGGTCACAATTGCATAAATCTGTGGGGAAGAAACCCGTGATGAGGCCTAAGAGCATCTGTGTGGGAGACTACTATAGCATCATGCTGTGTTCCAGTATACACATCTCCTCCAATACACTACATTTATCCAGATTCATTCATTTATCTAATAACAATTCCAACAAAGAACCAGAACACCATGATTTGATGGCTTTATACTTTGTATAATTATAATAAAGTAAGAGAGCAGAGGAAAAAGCTCTGCTGATGTTTATCAATGCAATGTTTCCTGCATGTTTTTCTTGTTGTTTTGTTTTGTTTTTTTAGGCCAAAACCAAAAGTAGAACATCCTTGATATAATTATCCCTCTATTTTCACTCTATCTTGCTTTAAGTGTTTCTGTCATATCTAACCCACTCATGCATCCTCTGGATGCTCCAGCGGATCTGATTGCATGCGCTATTGCTTATCATTTCTCTCGCAATTAATTTGCTTGTGTGAATTGGTTTTTTGCAATCCTTGTGCACACGCTGAATTGCATCAACAAAAGCGCGCGCAAATACTGTGTTCGGCCACCTTAACCCACTGACACTTACGTGCAAGATGTGCCTACGAAAAGTCAAAATTTTGGAGAAACCAAGAAAGCAAGCACAATGCGTAGTAAATTTTTAGACATCTTTTCCAGAAAACAAGCTCCAGTGAAAGAAGACTAATTAAAGAACTTCTTTCCAATGAAAAAAGCGATAGGTGCATATAAAGTTTTTACTCAAAAATCAAGATGAAAGATAAAAATCACTAAATATTTTTGCATGTGTGCAAATGGGCATGCAGATCATATTTCAAGATGGAATATGCAAATTTGTCTGTGAGTTAAGAGATCTAAAGTTCCATGGAATCTATCAATAGGAAGCAAGACGAAAATGACCAAGAAATATTTCAGGACGACAGATTTATTCAAAACAGTTTTTGATTTGCTGTTATAAGCGAAAAACGTACGAATTTCTTACGTGTACAAAGCCCACACGGTAGAATTCATTATGCTTAGATCGTTGTTTACTTGCCTTCATAGGTAGAAAATTGCACAGCGTTATGTTGAAAATTCTGAAAAAACTTCGATTTGATGCAAAATCTTCTATTAAACAATACTTTTTGAACACATTGTTACTCAAACATAATATTTACCAGGCCATCAAATCTTCAACTTGTCGCTAGGCCTTCCTTGAAGTCCAAAAGTTTTGTTTTCACTTTACGTCCATAATAGACCCTTCCACAGTTTTAGCGGCCATATTGGTTGGGGATCAAACAAAACCTCGTTGCATAGCAATGAGCCAAAGAATCTCTTTTGATAAGATGATGAGCATCGCTACCCTCGTTTAAATTTTCGCTTTGTTCAGGAACAAAAATTAATATTCATCGCTGAAAAAGAGAAGAAATCAATAAAGGTGAGTGACTCTTTCTCCTCTTGGTGAAAAACCTTTTCTTCTCTGTGTTTTGTGGAAACATTGAGATCGTTTTTCTTTAGATGCGACCTCGCGGCCGACATAATGCCAGAAGGTCAGAATACTGCTTTTCCGAATGACTTTTTGTAAAATTTTGAGTAACTTAATTGTGCACAGGAAAAATTGAAATAAATGCGTTTACATGCTCTTTACACCTTTTCTTCCAGACAGGCTAACATACTCTTGAAAAACCAATAACTCGGCAAAGAGAAACCCTTGGTTTAATGGGTTTTGGAGATGGGTGTTCCGTCTGCGGCTGTAACAATGATAGAGGATATCCAAAAAAATGGGTCATCCACTCACATGTACAGAAGTTACCGTTCCACAAGCCCAAGCAATCGTTAATTGAAGCATGGTCTCGACAGGTTCAGAAGGGAAGAAAATATTTCTCAATAGGAAAGTCAAGGGATCGGAGAGTGTTGTCGTCTGCTCCAATCATTTTCGAGACGGGAAGCCTTCAATAAGCAATCCAATACCTACTCTTTTTTTTACTCCTTTTGAGCATTCAAATACTAAGTCACCCAAAAGGCGGCAATTATCAACACCGGTTGATAATAGACATATCACTGCAAGTGACGAATTGATGAAAAGTGGAAACGATTCCCCAGGGTTAATACTGTGTACAGCCTCTGCACAAATAACCAGAGATGCAGATGTTCGACTCTATACTGGTATGCAAAATACAGATGCTTTCAGAACCTTATTCGAGTACTTACTCCCACCATAAATCCTAAAATTTAAAACTACACAATATCGATGGCTAAAAAACATATTCTAATTTCTCAACCCAAAGAAGTGCTTTTTAAAATGCCATTCTCGCATCATGGTGGCCACAAGGTCACCTTCAAACAGCATATCAATCTGCCGATAAAACGTAGTGATAAAAAAGTACTTCACCAAAAATTTGGCACTTACTTCCAGTAACGCCTTATCTTTGTTCCCACTAGATTTAGAGATGAAAATAAGCGATTTTCCCTTTATAAAGTTACGATATTGAGCGAAGGTACCAACGCGCGTTGAATAATAACAAAAGAATATATTGCTCATTGCTACGCAATGAGGTTTTGTTTGACCCCCAAACAATATGGCCGTAAAAACCATGGAAGGGTTCGCATCGCCCTAGAAAATTGTAGTGTCGTTGCCTCGAGAGCTTATTCTGTCACCTTTAAGACCTTGATATCCATTATTTTCCAAGCAGAGTATTCTATAGCATTGCTACTTCACATTCTGAGTTCTACAAGGTCTAACTCAATCGCAAATGAATGAAAAATCCGACCTGAAAATTTTGAGGGTCGGCTGCGCAGACGCCATATTTCAAAATTTGATCATTTAGTGAAGATGCATAGAATAATGCCCCACTGGTACCATCTAAAGCCATCAAAATATAGGCACAAATGACGGATTCTGATTGGTTTGTTGATCTCCAAACCTGAGAGGAAGTTTGGGGAAAAAACTCTACTTAGTAGGGGATGTAGGGGGGGAAAGCGTTCTCGTGCGAGTCAGTTACGCGGTTCGGGCGGTTCAGGTGTCAATGTGTAAAGGAGACAAACAAATTCAGCATCGCTACATTCACAATTTGACAAATTCAACCACAAAATAGCCTCTCTACGTCGTGTGTAAAAGGAAAGAGTTGGGAAATGTCACGTAAACTCAGCCCTCGAAAACTCAGATCCCTGTGCGATCCCCAAGCAAGCAATCAAATTAAAGTATAAGGTTCAAAAGCAGAGTTTGAGGAAGGTCGAAAACATTATTTTGACATGGAAGAGGCAATGAAGTTGTTCATGATTAACGCGATTTACCCAGTAGTCTTGAGTGGTTCTTTCCCACGCTCTTGTGGTCAAAGGCAGGTAAAAAAAGAAAGCCGTTACCACCACTATTTCAAACAGCCAACATTCTGCTATATGTATCTCCTTACCTGGCCTTCGTTTATGAAACCATGCTTACTCGCCAATCTATCTGCTTCTTCGTTTCCACCTTCAATTTGAACTGACCATCTATTCGAATACTGTACGGTGCCCACTTTCGAAACAAGATAGCGAAGAGAAATAAAAGATACAAAATGAATCCACTGCATCATGGTCAAACGCGAAATTCAGAGTCAATTCGACTGCGTTGGGACGATTGTCCTAAAATTAATCTAGCTTGTGTTTACCGCTCGGTATGAGGGGAGGTTACCAAGTCAACAACCCTTCTTTTTATTTTTCAAGGGTCCCGCCGGTAAACTCCGAATAAACTCCCGGTCTCAAATTAAAGAGTTTTTCGAGCCACAGAGAAACTTTTAAGTAAAATAGAGCCTATTGCTATTTCTCCTGTTTAGAGACATATTTTAGGCTCTGAGCCTAAAGTGAAGCTTTACAAAGGGAAAAACCTCAGCGACCTTATCCACCCCACCCCCACTATCTCTTTCACAAACAGGATGACGTTTTCCTCGAAAAGATGTTTTCCCGATCACGTCTCGCCCTCTCTGTCAGGTGTCAACTTTCATCGTATCCTCAAGGCTTGAGTGATATTTAGAAATGTTTCAGAAAACGTGATTAATTCATTCTGTTTCATTTTTAGGATTTTTTGAAGTCAGATCGAAGTTGTAGAATAGATCTCATTTTCGTTGCTTCGACCAACTTGTCTACCACACAAAGTCGTTTGAATCTGTTACTTATTTATGATTAATAATGATTACAGTTCGGCTTCTTTGAGCAAACCGTAACCTCATGCATGTTGCTAAACATCACGTACTGTGGATTTTGACAGCGTGCTAAACTGGTATATGGTTAGCCAAATGTTGCAAAATTCAACAACTTGCATATTTATATTCAACAATTAATATTTATGCTCAACAAAATACATTTTTATTCAACAGTTTACAGTTATATTCAACATTTTATATTTATGTTCAACGACACGCATTTTCTTTTCAAATTCAACCAAATTTATTTTCATTCAACAACAATATTTATTCAACTTCAATAGCTATATTTATTTTACTCAACAAAATTAATTGTTCAACTTCAGTCCAAACTTTTTACTCAACAAAAGCAATTATTCAATTTCTACCATGCATAGTTATTTAATGACATACCTTCTATTATGACTAAGTGTTCGAAAGTTCCCGGACATTCAAAATA